CTGGGATCTTGGGCACACACACACACATGCTCAAAGTGATTTTTAAGCCACCAGGTCTGGGACTTGAACTGCAGTTAGCCATGTGGGCATCCAGCAACGTAACCGCTATGCCATCTGCTGGCCCCAAAATCTACACTTTTTTTAAAAAAGAGGTTTTTGCCTTAAGGTATTTGCACTCACAAGAGGGAGAGGCAGGCAGTGAGAGGGAAAGTGAGCAATCATTCCCAGGATGGTGGCCATATTGCAATCCCTGCTCCTCTATTCTCTCCTGGGATCTTGGGCACACACACACATGCACCCAGTGTGGTTTTCAGGCCATCGGGTCCAGCACTCAAACCAGTTAGGACATATGGGATTCCAGTGACGTAACCACTATGCCATCTGCTGACCCTCAAATCTACATTTTTTAATGGCTCTGAACACACGTTAAGGTTTGGGAACCAGGCTGTAGAACCAGGCATGATTTATTGGATATATGAACTAGGGAAAATTTCTTAAATTCTCTAAGCCTGAGGTTCTTCCTCTGTAAAAAGGAGTTATTATTTCATAAATGCCTAATATAGATTAGTACTCAATAAATGGAAGCTGTTACTATTGATAGCATTAGTTATTAATTATTTAATCAATACCCACTGAATCAAAAACTTATTGAGACACTGCAGATGTAGCACTGTACAAAACAAGTTCTTGCTCTGAAGAAACTCTCATTCTAGTGTGGTATGAGAGAGAATAAATACAGAAGACCAGCCCTGTAGCCTGTTGTTTAAAGGAGCCAGATCCCATATGGCTGGTTATAGTCTGAATCCTGGCCCTGGCAGCTTGAAGAAAAAAAAAAAAAAAATGCCAGGCACATGTACGTGAATGCCCCAAATCCTAAAAGAGTGGAGAAATGAAGAATGGCCTGTGCCATGACCATACTGAATGTGGGAGTGTTTTCTCCCCATCTCTTGGTCTCTACCTACAGTAGGTGATGATCCATAGTTAGAAGATAAGGTCGATTAAAATAACCTATCTGCAGATGTGGATAGGACACTTAGGGAGGCCTTGCTGATTTAGATGGCTATTCCAGCAGAAACTTACATGAAATGAGGAACGAGCCATGTAATAAAGGACAAAAGAGTACCAAGCAGGGAAACGGCGAGTGCAAGGGCCCCGCGGTAAATATGCTTTGTGCATTCATCGAACAAGGGAGATCGTATGGCAGGTACCAGAAAGTAGTAAAGGGCAAAACACAGGAGATAAGGTCAGGGAGCTAACCAAAGCCTGCTCATGTCAGGTGTTGCCAGTAAGGACCTTGGAACTTATTTTAGTTGTGATGTGATGCCACTGGAGGGTTCTGAGTTCAGAAGGTTTTCAATGGTTCACTCTACCTCTGTGTAGTCGAGAAACTAAAAATGGCATACGTGCAAATAGGGTGATCAGTCAAAAGAATGCTACAGTCACACAGATGAGATGACAGTGGCTTCAACAAGAGCAGTGACAGTGGAGATGGGATTCTAGATTTACTCTGGAGGTAGAATAGACAAGATTTGTTCATAAATTGAACGTAATGTCAAAGAGAACAAGAGGGGACCAGCAGGTGGCGTGGTGATTAAAGTGCTGGACTCCCACATGCTTGACCACAGTTCAAGTCCTAGACCTGGCAGCTTGCTGTCTCACTTTCCCTGTGTGTGTGTCTGTGTGTGTGTGTGTGTGTGTGTGTATGCACATATGTGTGTCTTGCTCTGGTGAACATACATGCCGTGTAGCAAATTTAAAAATAATAATAATGATTCATAAAATTAAATAATCCTTAGGGAGAACAAGAGAGAGCGAGAACAAGAGAAGTCACTAATTATTTTCAGGGGCTGGCATGTAATGCAGTGGTACGTGCTGTGCATGTGGTGCCAGACCCCACAAGGCCAACTACAGTTTGAATCCCAGGAGCTTGAAAAACATATCAGCATACCCCAAATCCCAATGGGATGGAGAAAAGAGGGAAAAGGGATTGCAGCATCACCATACCCAACAGAGAGGAGCTTTCCCCCACCACCCCCCCCCTCCTAAGCATGCATACCCTCTGGCAATTAAAAAGAATGATGCAAGGTTTGGGGCCTTCGCCAAAGAAGCAAACAGAAAGGCTATTTGTGAGCTAGATTGAGGACAGTCATGTTTTAGGGGAGTGGAATTGAGAACTGTTCTGGCCATACTACTAAGCATCCAAATGAAGATGCTGGACAGGCAGCTGGATTATATAGCTCTGATGTTCAGGGAATAATCGTCATCCTTGGTGTCCTCCTCATTTCTGTTTCCCAGGAGACAGGAGTCTATCGTCTCTGAGACACCTTCCAGTTCAGATATCATCTGGCCCCATGTAATCTGGCTCTTGGAGGTTTCTGGATGAACTTCAATAAAGAGCACAATACAGATAAAAGGGATTGTAAAGAGAAACAGCAATAATGCTGTCAAAGTCTTGAAAATAGTTTTGAGGCCGGAGGCAGTACATGGCCTCTTGTAACCCAATATCAACTACAGTACCATAGAAGGCAAAGGGCATCCCTCCTGTCAGGTGACTGAAGCAGGCCAAAAGCTACCCACCATTTCAAAATGTTCTTCAAAAGCATAGGTATGAAGAAACTTTATGGTGACAAAAGAGAGCAGGTGAGAGGTCTCAGATACATGTCTTGATGGGCCCACAGAGGATCAGGGTCACAGATTCTGATAAGTTAGGTCAAGAGTAGCAAAAGCTGCAGCCATCCTTTTCAGAAGCATATATCCTAGGCTAAGCTGGGCAATCCTCCACCACACTGCAATTGCAGGCAGCATGTCTCTAATGTCATTTATCTAGTATCATCATTTGCTTATATGTCTTAGTCACTCCTAGAAACACAGAAAAAAAAATTTTTTTTTGGAGAGGTTTTTGCTATAGGGCGTGTGTGCTTGCCAGACAGACAGAGAGAGACAGAGAGACAGAAAGTGAGAAATCACCCCCTAGGGGGGGATGGCCACATAACAATCCCTTCTCCCCCGTTCTCCTCTCGGGATCTTGGGCATGCACGCACACGCGCCCGGCGTGAGTTTAAGCCACCGGGTCCAGGATGCAAACCGCGGTCGACTACGTGGGAGTCCAGCGACATAGCCATTATGCTAACTGCTGGTCCCCAGAAAAAAATTTTTTAATTGACAGAGGGCACATACACTCAACAGGGAAAGATAGAAAGACAGAGAGGTCTCGAAGGAGAAAGTGTCCCCCAACGGGGTGTGGTCATGCCACAACCCCTTCTCCATTTCTCCATCCTATTGGGATTTGGGGGCATGCTTCTACAGTGGCCCAACATGTTTTTAAAATCCACTGGGTCCAAGATTGTGGTTGGCTATGTGGGCTCCAGCTCCCTTAACTAAGAGGCTAAGGAGCCAGCCCCGCACTATCTCTTATTCATCCTTACATTCCCATTCCTAGCTGAATGGCCCTTGTGGGCATTTAATATATATTTGATAAAATAAGGAAATGAATTCTCCATGTGGAGTATCGGTCTTTCAATTTTTAAGTTTCTTTTTTCTCTTTTATTTCATTTTACCTGAGGGCACTTAATGGTAGGAATGAAGGTTTCCTTGACATGAATGGAAGAATTAGGGCTCTCTCCTTCACCCAAAGAACTAGGACAGCTTATTGAGACATGACTTTAAAGCAGTCCAGAGCTGCTGAAGGGGAGGGGCACATACTATCATGAAGATCTAGAGTCAAACAACCCCACTGAAGAGGCCATAAAAGACTGCAAGGATGGGGCCAGCAGGTGGTGTGGTGTTGGACTCACACATGGCTGACCATAGTTCAAGTTCTGCTCCCAACGGCTTGAAACTCACACTCCGTGTGTGTGTGTGTGTGTGTGTGTGTGTGTGTGTTCAAAATCCCGAGAGGAAAATGGAAGACAAGGGATTGCAGCTGCTTGGTTTTGGGGGATATCAGACCAACCATTCATGGATAAGAGAACAATGTTCATAAGTTAGCATCAAGCTTGAGACTCTTGAAACTTTCATTTGTATGTATTCCAGAACACAAAAGAGATGCCTGACTGTTTTCTGCACTAGTCAATCCCAAAAAAGATTACACAAGTTTTTATGGTTTGGTTTCATGATAATCTGGAATAACACTCTACTACCTATAGAATAGATAGCTTGGGCACTACGTATATAAAGCCATCAACCACTTGACTAGATTAACAATTCAGTGTAACTGGGACCAGCAGTTAGCATAATGGCTATGTCGCTGAACTCCCATGTAGTCGACCCGGGTTTGCGTCCCAGACCCGCTGGCTTAAACTCACGGCTGGCGCGTGTGCATGCGTGCCCAAGATCCCCAAATTCAAAATGAGAGAAGGGATTGCAGCATGGCCATCCCCCCTGGGGGGGTGATTTCTCGCTTTCTGTCTCTCTGTCTCTCTGTCTCTCTCTTTCTGGCGAGCTCACGCGCCCTATAGCAAAAACCTCTCAAAAAATAAATAAATAATTCAGTGTAACTACATGAGTCAAGTACAAGAATGAGAAGTGAGCAATGACTGATCGCCAAGGGGGAAAAAGCATATAGTGTTAACTTGTTCAGTGTCCAAGGAAGCACTGTTGTCTTTCACTTAGAAAACAACACAACCAACGGGACAAATTCAAGTTCCTAGGCTAAGAATTCCCCCCGCTTTGTCCCTCTAAACTGAAGACTTCTTGGGAATTGAAATGGGTCAGAGCTAAACACAATAATTAAGGAAAGCTCAATCTTTAACTCTGTACCGAGCGCAAGGGCAGGCAGAACACCCCTAGAATGCTTGGTTCCCTGGAGATCGCCCAGGCAGCCCCGCGGACATCGCTGTCTGCAGGCGATTGTCATTTCTCTGCCTCCCCCGCCCCCAGCATCCGAGTCCCGTTTCGGGCAGCATCCGAGCGCAATCCCACAGTCAGACGTCTGTCCACGTTCCCAGCCTGGAGAAACGTCCTGTGCCGACCCTGCCACGGCCCCGCGTCCCCCGGCTCACCCCAGGCAGCCAGACAGTCGATTTGCAGAGGCAGCTTTTCTAGGATCGGAACCTGCTCGAAGGCGTCGTGCATGGCGGCAAGGAGAGAGTAGCGGCCGTTGTCTCGCCCAGAGTACGCCTGCCCCGGATAGTGGCCGGAACCAGCAGGGCAGACAGACCGGAATCCGGTCAGGGACCCCGGCTACAGGCCTTTCGACAACACAGCCATCCTCAACCTCGACTTCCTGTTGGGTTGGCCCCGCCCCTTCCGCACCCGAGGTCCCGCCCCTTCCGTTCTCAGCGCACTCTCAAGGGATTCCCATCTGCGCCCTGGACGGGACTCTCCAGTCCCGGACCCAGAGTAGCCGGGAGTTTGAGGAGGATATTCTCTTAACTGTCTTAGCGAGCGGAGTGGCTAATAAAGAGTTCAGGCTTTGGCTTCGGGCTGAACTGGGACTTTAGGAAATTAGCTGTGTCCTTTAGGAAATAGTCTAGGCCTTCTCTAATCTATCAAACGATTTAAGTATAAATACCTGTGACTTAGAGCCATGAGCGCCTAGCCACACTTTTCTAAGCATTCAATAAATGTTAGCTTTAGTGTTACTACATCTCGAGGCACCTTACCCTTTTTTTTTTTAAGAGATTTTTGTTATAGGGTGCTTTTCCTTGCCAGAGACAGAAAGCAAGAAAATCACCCACCCCCCCTAGGGAGGATGGCCACTCCAGTCTCCTCTCCGGATTTTGGGCCTGCACACATGCCCGGTGTGTTAAACATGTTTAAGCCACGGGGTCCAGGACTCGAACAGTTGTCGACTCCATGGGAGTCCAGCAGTATAACCATTACACCATCTGCTGATCCCCCTTACCTTTTTCTTTTTTTGAGAGGTTTTTGCTATAGGATGCGTGCGCTTGTCAGAAAGGCAGAGAGACAGAAAGCGAGAAATCACACACACCCTGGGGGGGGGGGAGGTGTTGGGATGGCCATGCCGCAACGTCTTCTCCGTTCTCCTCTTGGGATCTTGGGCACTCATGCACAGGCGCCCAGCCTTGAGTTAAAGCCACCAGTTAAAGCCACCAGGTCGACTACGTGGGAGTCCAGCGACATAGCCATTATGCTAACTGCTGGTCCCACCCTTACATTTCTAAAGTTGTCCTAAATCAGTGGTCACCTATGAACTTAGAAATTCAGTCTCAGGCCTCACTCTAGCTCTTCTGAATCATAAATCATGAAGGGAAACAGCAATCCATGTTTTGATAAACCTTTAAGGTGAGTCCCTGCACTTAAAAGCTTGAGAAACACCGTTCTAAGCTAGTTTCTCAACTGCAGTACTACTGACTTTTTTTTTTTTTTTGGAGAGGTTTTCGCTATAGAGCATGTGTGCTCGCCAGACAGACAGAGACAGACATAGAGACAGAAAGTGAGAAGTCACCCCCCCCAGGGGGGATGGTCACACTGCAATCCCTTCTCCTCTCGGGATCTTGGGCATGCACGCACACGCACCCGGCGTGAGTTTTAAGCCACCGGGTCAGGGACGTGAACTGCGGTCAACTATGTGGTAGTCCAGCAACATAGCCAATACGCTAACTGCTGGTTCCCAGTACTACTGACTTTTAAGGCAGGGTAATTCTTTGTTGGGAGGGAGAGCTGTTCTGTACAATCCAGGATGTGTGGCAGTATCCTAGCCTCTTCCCACCAGATGGCAGTAGCATCTTCCACAGAAATACAACTAAAAATGTCTCACTTTGCCAAATGTCCTCAGGGAGACAAAATCACCCCTGGTTGAATGCGAAGGCCAATGTTTCTCCAATTTAATGTGCATACAAATTACCATACAAATTGCTGATGCTACTGGTCCCAAGACCACACTTTTGAGTAGCATGGGCTTAGTAGCAAGAGTTGATTCAAGAGGTGAGTCAGTAAAATAAACCTCTTTAAAACTAATCATCATAATCCCACCAATTCAACCTTCCCAAACTGTGTCTTATATCTTAATATTCCTTTTAAAAAGGTAACATGGCTTACTCTTCCTATGGGTCCTGTACTATTTGAGGTTACCTTAGTACTCCTCCCGGAGACGTAAAAAGCAACAAGAAAACTGAGTCTGAGTTGTAAAAATAACCTGTATCCAGTAATTTCTGCCTAAGAAAACATCAAGGATGTCATAAAATTAAGCATTTGGGCTTAAAACAAAATACGTAAGGAAAAGGGTGAATCTATGATATGAAGTAAAAAAAACTAGTCCTGGTCATTTTATTTTTACACTGTTTCTCCACATGCAAATTAGGTATGCTTGTCCCATCTTTTCCAAATGTTAGCTGTTCTGATAATCAAATGAAAGCGTAATAGTCAGAACAGAAAAACTGATAAACAAATATTGTGTTACGGTTGATTTTTCACCACAGCCAATCAACTTCTTGAAATTTTAGAATTACCAGCTGCTGTGTTGGAAGGAGGACTAATACTTGTTAGCTCCTGGTCCAAGGACCAAGACCAAAATAAGCAACATCAACTCTAAAAATAGGTCTTAATGTGAAACTACAAATACCTCTCACTCTGTCCTAAGAAATGACATACTATATCCAATACCCATAATATAGAAAGCCACAGCTGGAATTACTAAGTCCAAAGCTACACAGAATTTGAACTACACACTCCTGCTTAACACAGACTCTTTTTTCTCCTACTCTCAAGTCAACGTCAAATCAGCTTCAAAAAATATTTGACCCACTACCTTCATGCATTATTATTAATATCATTATACATCTGCTAAGTTTTAGTATGCAACAGCAGCACGTGATAGTATCACGTCTTTTGCTACTGAGTTAGTGTGAGAACATAATCGGTTCATATTGTTGTTTCTTCTGTGCAGCAAAGGGAAGCACAGAAATGCTACATAAGTTGAAACTTTTACTAGAATATGACCTAGTGAAGACTCATGTAGTCATTGGTTTCAACAGAAAATAAGGCAATCTAGAATAAAAGCCATAGAGTATTTCTGTAAGAGTCTGGGAGAAAGAAAGGTCAATAGAGAAAGTCGGGGGGGGGGGGGGGAAAAACGAGAAAAATATATTAATTTTGTTAAATTTTTTATATTAAAAAATGGCATGAATTTTTTTATGTAGAACAAAAATATCTGGAAAGCAAAATTGGAGAAAACCTTTAAAACAGAAATGGAGTGCTTCAAATGAATCCCACCACCTGGTAATGTCCCTTAGAAGCAGTCTCTAAACCAATAGCAGATACTAGAACAGTCAATCCTCAAGAATGAACAGCAGTCCAGGGCCTCCACACTACTTCATGCAACTGTTTAAATTAAGCCAGTAGGACCTATTTCCTTATATAAGCTGCCTCTTCTGAAGCATTACAGTACCTGCAGCAGGGTGCTCAATCATAGCACTGAAGAGTCTCTCTCTGCATCTAGTGTAATACCCAGTGAATGAATGGCATGAAGGCAAAGCACTGCCTAGGACTCCTCAATGCTGCCTTTGGAGGCTTACAAAACAGTAGTTAAAAGTTTCGGAGTGTGCACCACATTGCCAGCAATGGGATGTGTCACAATAGCAGATGTCAAAAGAGTTAAGCTAATATTTCTCTTTAAAGTACATCTGAAATAGAAAAATCTTTAATATACACCATTTGTAAACAAAATTGCACTTGATTTTGCTTTTTTAAATGATCTGAATCACATTGTAACAGTTTCTCTCTCTCCCTCTTCCTTTTAATCATTGATAAAACCCTAGCTCCTTACCTCAGAAGGGCCCTTTTTTCTCAAAAATACCTCTGCAAGATATAACCTTGACTTTCCAGGAAACTGAACAATAATCAACAATTTCCCCCATCACCAATGTAACTCCGTAAATAAATATAAATTACAGGCAGTTGCTCCTGAAGATTACATATTATGGTGGTGATGACACAGTCCTTTAGAAGACGTTAAACTTTTTAGTTTGACAGATTAAACAACTGAAACATTATAGAAAGTTCAGGAACAGCACACATAAGTTGCATAAACATCTGTGTCAGGGTTTGGGAGGGAAAGGGACATCAATAAGAAGCTTGTAGATTTTTTTCATCCTATGAACTTGTTTTTTCCGTGAGATATCCTCCTTGCTCTGACATCTCTCGCCAGCTCCAATGCGCAAGATCAAAGAACAGATCAGGATGTCACTGGTTCCTTTAATCCCATGGAGTAGTAAAGAAGACTGGCACAGAAGCTGATCTCTTCCTTATTAGCCACCTTCAAATTCCAAATCTTTTAATTTTTTTACTCCATTTTGGACCTTTCAAAGTGTGTGATCATTCGTTCCTAGGGAAGAAGAAAAGTTTATTCTATGTATGTTAATTTAAAATGCCCACATTCCAAATATCATCTACGCAGACTATCCAAACATGTCCCACATGTATTTGTTAATTAAATGTTTAGAGCACTTGTTCCTAAACATCCATAAATATTTTAAAACATACACATGTACAAGCCCTATCCAAGATCAACTGAATCAAAATCTAGGCTTATGGACAGCATCCCCGAGTTCAGAAAGCAAATTTATTTGAATCAATTAAGATGATTAAACAAATATTTACTTAAGATTATGCTTTAATAAAAAATTTGTACCTCCTCTAATTCACGGATTTTTTAAAATATTTTTTAATAATTAATTTTACTTATTCAGTCATTTATTTTAATTTGACCAGAGAGAGATACACATTAGAGAGAGAGAGAGAGAGGGAAAGTGAGAAAGCAAGTCACCAGGTCCAATATTCAAACCGTGTGGGAGTGTCCAGCGCCTTCACCACCATGCCACCTGCTGGTCCCACGGATTTCTTTTTTTTTTTGAGAGAGAGAGATTTTTGCTATAGGGCACATGTGCTCACAGGAGAGAGACAGAAAGTGAGAAATTGCCTCCTGGGGGATGTCCATGCCATAATCCCTTCTCCTCCATTTTCCTCTGAAGATTTTGGGGGCACACACACACACATGCCTGGCATGAGTTTTAAGCAACCAAGTTTGGGACCTGAACCATGCTCAACTAATGAGAGTACAGTGACATAAATATTATGCCATCTGCTGGTCCACTAATTCAGAAATTTAACTTGAAGATCCAGTCAATGATGTGTTTAGATTTATCCAAAACACTTTCAGCACTGTAACAAAATACTAGGGAAAAACTGCCCCCAAATGCACAGACTTATGTTTCCTTACAATGAAATATCAGTCATTAAAATTACAATTTTCTTGGGGGGAGAGGTTTTTGCTACAGGGCTCGTGTGCTCTCCAGAAAGAGACAGAGAGACAGCGAAAAATCACCCCTCAGGGGGGATGGTCACACTGCAATCCCTTTCTCTTCCATTCTCTCCTTGGGATCTTGGGCACGCACGCACCTGGCATGATTTAAACCCACTGGGTCCAGGACTCGAACCACAGTCGACTACATGGGAGTCCAGGGGGCAGTTGGTCCCCAAATTACATTTTTTTAAAGGAGATTTTTGCTATGGGGCAAATGCACCTGCCAGAGAGACAGAAGGCGAGGAATCACCCCTTGGGGGGATAGCCATGCCACAATCCCTTCTCTTCCACTCTCTTCTCGGGATTTTGGGCACACGCACACACACACACACACGTGCCTGATTTGAGTTTTAAGCTGCCAGGTCCAGGACTCAAACCACAGGCGACAACGTGGGAGTCCAGCAACATAACCATTACAGTATCTGCTGGTCCCTAAAATTACATTTAATGAAAAAGTTTGAGACCTGACGCACAATAATGTGCATAACATTAACATTTTGCACTTGAAAATGGTTAAGAGAGTAGGTTTTGCTACATTGTTTTAAACCACAATTAAAAAAAAATTGTATGAAAACTCATTGAGTTTATCAAACTCATATAGATAAAATAGTATTTTCAGCATATTTCAATTAAGAACTTTAATGTACTACAATTAAGTTTCCTTGTATGATTTTTACATATTTTTCATTTTCCCTTTGCTTTATTTGCTAAGTCCCTGTCACAAATAAATTCCAAATTTTTGACAGCACTATAAATCCTTTTTGAATATGATCAGTCACATCAGATAAGCTATATTCTTTTCACATTTTTCAAAGAAATACATTTAAGCTCTCTATTCTACTGTTCCATTCTAGTCGCTCTCTTTAGCCAACTGTCCAACTGTCAAGCTGACAATTTGTTACAATATCATACTGGAAACTTTTCTTTGTCTCACTAAGTTGGATCCTTCATTTCCCAGATCTCAACTCTTTTCTCTCTTCATTTTATAGAGAAATAATACTTTCCTGAGAAGGCACACATAGGATGTCAATTGCTTTATTTCCTATATAACTGAAAACATCTTTACTGTTATTCTCATGGTGATGGCTTAGTTGGGTATAGAAATCTAGTTTGAAAATAATTTGTCTTGGGATCAGCAGTTAGCATAATGGCTATGTCACTGGACTCCCATGTAGTCAGCTGCGGTTCGAGTTCCAGACCCAGTGGCTTAAACTTAACACCAGGTGTGTGTGCGTGCGTGCCCAAAGTCCCAAGAAGAGAATGAAGGAGAGATTGTGGTGTGGCCATCCCCCCCCCCGGGGGGGGATTTCTCACTATCTGTCTCTTTGTCTCTCTCTGTGTTTCTAGCAAGCACACGTGCCCTATGGCAAAAAACTGCCCCCCCCCAAAAAAAAATTGTCTCGAAATTCAAAGGCATTGTTCTTTCTTCTGGATTCCAAAGTTTTTGCTGAAGAGTCTGATTTCATTCTGATTCCTAGTCCTTTGTGTTTTGTTTCTTCTGTAATTTGTTTAATTTATTTTTCAGTTTTGAAAAAAAGGCCTTGGAAAAAGTGATGGCAAAATCAAAAGCCTTGGACAACTCCTTTTCCCAACAGACACAATGACTAAACAACAATACACTGAACAATTCCCTTTGTGAGAAATTAAGAAATCACTTGAGAGGCTCCTGCATCACAGGAGAGCACAAAATAAGCCACATCAATGCCAGCGAGATAATTTGAGGCACTTCTTGCCATAATACCTTCCCCTAAATCTGGCACAATGCCCATGATAAGGAGGAAACCCCTAATTCTCAAAGTATCTTCAAGGAGCAAAGCAAAGGATCGCAAAGTACATTGAACATTCTGACTTTTCCAGATGCTGCCAGAGAGACTAGTTTCTCTGTCACCTATATCTGAGTGCTAAGACAAAAGGCAGCAGGTTGGAGGTTGCTGAGAACAAAAGCATAGGTTTCAATTAGCAAAAATATATATGCCACAGTCCCTTCCACAGCTCAGCACAGAGCAAGCAGGCAGAAAACTCCAAAGCCCAGTTTCTCCCTGGGGATGAAAAAGTTGGACTGTAAATCCACTGTTTAACTTTTTAGGATTCCCTGAGGGACTGGCTTCTATCCCTCCAGTCTCAGAGTACATATGGATCAGCACAGTTTAGGTGCCTAGGGGCCACTGTGAACAACAAAAAAGTGTGGAGGATGCTACTGCTGCTCTCAGTACACTAGGCACCAGGAGGAGAAAGAGATTACAAATTCCCACAGGGGGAAAAAATAAAAAACAGCAAATCCCTCTGACTAGGAGTTTACATGCATGAATCCAAAGAAGATACATATGAAGAGAAGGTTGAAAAGGCCTCCAGGGGGACCAGCAGATGGCATAATGATCGCTGGACTCCCAGGAGTCGACCGCTGTGAATCCCAGGCCCTAAAGGGTGTGGCCAAGTGGAGATGTACAGAGAGCAAGTAAAAGCTCTAATAAAGATACTGTCTGCTGCTGCACTGCAGGGCAGTACAGGATGAAGAAAGCTGAATGTCAGCTAGAGAAAACTTTTTATAAACAAGGAGAACCTTGTTTAAACACCAGACACAAGATGCTCAACAGCTGCAGTCAATGACAGAAACTCCCCCACACACACTTTACCTTCCCTATAAGAGCACAGACCCTATTAAAAAAAAATGAGCACAGGGAACCAGCAGTTAGCATAATGGCTATGTCACTGGACTCCCACGGAGTCGACCGCAGTTCGCGTCCCGGACCCGGTGGCTTAAAACTCACGTCGGGCATGTGTGCATGTGTGCCCAAGATCCTGAGAGGAGAATGGAGGAGAAGGGATTGCAGCGTGGCCATCCCCCCTGGGGGGTGATTTCTCGCTTTCTGTCTCTATGTCTCTCTCTGTCTGGAGAGCACACACGCCCTATAGCGAAAACCTGTCAAAAAAAAAAAAAAAAAAAAAGAGCACAAAACGATCAGGGGCCGCAGTGTTCTCCACCCAGAGATGCAAGGACTGCCTGATCCCTGCTTTTTTCTGTCTATCTTCTCAAGTCCCTTGATCCGCTTCTCTTTGGGGTTCCAGATCTTTTCGCTGGCAGGCTGTGGCAGGACCAGGCAGCTTAAAACTCACACTGGAGGCATGTGCATGCGTTCCCAAGATCCCGAAAGAAGAATAGAGAAGAAGGGATTGTTGCATGGCCATCACCCCTGGGAGGTGATTTCACACTTTCTTTCTCTCCCACAGGCGCACATACCCTATAGCAAAAAATCTCTCTTAAAAAAAAAAAAGAAAAAGAAAAGAAAAGGCCTCTAGAAACTATTGCCGTAGATCAGTCTCCTCCAATACAATGCCAGTCTCTTAGCAATGAGAGAGGTGATTTTCTTTTCCCCTAATCAATCAACAGGTGCCAACACAAAGAATTAAGGAAAACAGACAAATGGAAAAACATGACCCAAACAAAGGAATAAGATACATCTCTAGATATCAACCCTAATGAAATAAAGGTATATGAATTACCTGACACAGAATTCAAAATAACTACCATAAAGATATACAAGTTCAGGAAAACAATGTTTAAAGAGTTTCAAGAAAGAGACTGAAAACTTTTTATTTTTAAAAAATACATCAAACAGAGGCTGGCAGGGCCAGCAGGTGGAATGGAGGTTAAGATGGCTGGATCCACTGTGGCCAACTTCACAGTTCATATCCCAGACCTGGTGGCTTGAAAATCATGCAGGGTGTCTATGTATGTCTGCCCAAAATTCCAAGAGAATACAAATGGCTAATAAATATATGAACAAATGCTCATCATCACTCAGCATGGCCATCCTCCCTGGAGGGTGATTTTTCATTCTCTTTCTCTTCCTCCCCCCCCCCGCCCCCAGCAAATGCAAGCACCTTATAGCAAAACAAACAAACAAACAAAAAAAGTTATTATTGTTATTCTTCAATTTTGACCAGAGAGAGATAAAGAATGAGAAAGTAAGTCACCACGTCTGGGAATGGAACTGTGCTTGGCCATGTGTGAATCCAGCGTCTCAACCACCATGCCACCTGCTGGCCCCTATATCAGTTGCATTTCTATACAACAACAAACTTAACCAAAAAAAGATAAAGAAAACAAACCCATTTACAATAGCACCAAAAGAACAAAATATATAAGAATATACTTAACAAAGGAGGAAAAACAATTATACTACAAGCACTGATTAAAGAAATTAAAGACACACATACAGAGAAGTATAGTTCATGTTCATAGACATGAACTATCCTTTCTTGTTTAATGTCATTAAAATGACTATATCTTTATTAGAGCTTTTAAGGTTTAATGTCATTAAAAGGTCCAAACTACTAAGCAATACAGAGATGTAGTGTCATTTCTATCAAAATCTAATGTAATTTTCTCCAAAAATAGAAAAACAATCCTAAAGTTCATATAGAATCCCAAAGGACCATAACGGTCTGAACAATCTTGAGGACAACAGTGAAACCATCATACTACCTGAGTTCAAAATATACTACAAAACAATAGTCATCAAAACAGCAAAGTACCGGCATAAAAACAGATCAACAGTCTAATGGGACATATAAAGAGCCCCAAAATAAACCTATATATATAGATATATATATATGCAGTTAACTGATCTTTGAAAGGGCCTCAAGCTACATAATTGGGAAGACAGTTTCTTCAACAAATGGTGCTGGATAAACTGAATATCTACATGTAAAAACATGAAAATTGACTCTAATCTTATACTATACACAAAAATCAATTCAAAACAGATAAATTGGGACTTAAATGTAAAATCTGAAATTGCAAAAATTCAAGAAGACAAGCTCTATATTGGTCTCAGCAAAATGTATTGGATATGACACCAAAAGCATAAATGAGCAAAAATAGCCCAATGTGATTATACCAAATTAAAAATCCTCTGCACAGCAAAGAAAATCAACAGTATGAAAACACAATCTACAGAATAGGAGAAAATATTTGCAAACCATATATATGATGAACCATATATATGATGTATTTAATATCTAATTAAATAAGTAACTCTTACAACTCCATGGCCAAAAAAAAAAAAAAAAGAACAAACATGATTTAAAAACGGGCAAAAGGCCTAAATAGACATTTCTCAAAAAACACACAAGTAAGTATATGAAGAAAATGATCATCATCACAGAAATGCAAATCAAAACCAAAATGAGGTAACATCTCACACCTGTTAAGATGGCCATTACCGGGAACCAGCAGTATGGCTATGTCACAGGACTCCCACGTAGTCGACCGCAGTTCACGTCCCGGACCAGGTGGCTTAAAACTCACACCGGGCGCGTGTGCGTGCGTGCCCAAGATTCCAAGAGGAGAAGGGATTGCGGCGTGACCATCCCCCCCTTGGAGGGTGATTTCTCGCTTTCTGTCTCTATGTCTCTGTCTGTCTGGCAAGCGCACATGCCCTATAGCGAAAAAAACCTCTCCAAAAAAAAAAAAGATGGCCATTACCGAAAAACAAAAACAACAAGCAGCAGTGAGGTTGTGGAGAAAATGGAATCACTGTGCACTGCTGTTGAGAATGTAAAATGGTGCAACTGCTATGAAAAACTATGGAAGTGCCCTGAAAACTAAAAAATAGAACTACAATATGATCCAGAAATTCCACTTCTAAGAATGCATCTAAAAATACTGAAAGCAGGATCTCAAAATACTTGTACTACCATGTTTAATGGTGCATTACTTACAATGGTCAAAACAAGGAAATAGCACAGGTATCTATCAACAGACGAATGGATTAAAAAATGCAGCATACACATACAATGGATTAGTATTTAGTCTTAAAAAAGGAAATTCTGGGACCAGCAGATGGCGTAATGGTTACGTTGCTGGACTCCCACATAGTTGATCATGGTTCAAGTCCCGGACTCAGGGACTTAAAACTCACATCGGGCACATGTACATGCGTGCATGACCAAAATCCTGAGAGGAGAATGGAGGAGAAGGGATTACGGTGTGGCCATCCATCCTGGTGGGTGGGGGGTTGATATGTCACTTTATGTCTCTCTGTCTTTGTCTCTCTGAGAAGTGCATGCACCCTATAGCAAAAAAATCTCTCTCTCAAAAAAAAGAAAATCCTGCCATATGTGACAACACAGAAGAACCTTGAGACGTTATACCAGGTGAGGTAAACAGTGAACAGATGTATAAATACAACATGAATCTACTTATATCAGGTAGCTAAAATAGTAAAATTCACAGAAGCATAAAGTAGAATTGGTGGATGCCGCAACTAGGTGAACGCCAAAGAGGCTGCTGCTACTTAATGGGTAGAAAATTTCATTAAACAAGATGAAAAGTTCTATCAGAAATCTGTTTTACAATATTGTGTTAATATAATACTTAATACTAGTCATGTCTTTTTTTTCAGTTTTCAGTTTTTTCAATTTTACACTTCCATGTGTAAAATTGCAAAAAAGTGATACACATTCAGCAATACATGGACAAGGTTAATCACTGGTCTTCAATAGGTTAGGTATATTAAATGCATTTCCATTTATATTATTTCAACTTAGGATGGGTTTATCAGAGCATAACCCATTATTAAGTCAAGGAACATCTATAAATAGCAGAGAAAGATCCCAAGGAGGAGGCCTGGAACTGCAGAACACAATATATAAAGCAAAGTGTTTATGTGGATAGGTTAAAATCTGAATGGTAGACTTCTCAATTATTTTAATGTATAGAACAACTGAGGAATGTGACATTGTATGCTTGCCACATAGCGGGTCAGTGGGAAATGAAAAACAAACACACACACACATATACACATTTAGCAGTCAGTTCGACATAATGAGCCAGATTATGGAAGATGCTTCCAAAAGGCTTTCTGTGGGACCAACAGTTAGCATAATGGCTATGTCGCTGAACTCCCATCTAGCCGACTGTGGTTCGAGTCCTGGACCCGGTGGCTTAAAATCATGCTGACCGCATGTGCATGCGTGCCCAAGATCCCGAGGAGAATGGAGGAGAAGGGACTGTGGCATGGCCATCACCCCTGGGGGGTGATTTCTTGCCTTCTATCTTTCTATCTCTCTCTTTTTGGCGTGCACACGTGCCCTATAGCAAAAACCTCTCAAAAATAAAGAAATAAACCTATTAAAAATAAAAAAACACAAAAGTCTTTCTGAAATCAAGAGACTTAAGAAAAATCAAACATCGAGACTGTGCCTGAAACTATTGGGTCATCAGAAAAGTCATGATGCATTTTTGCATAGAAAATATGGGAACCAGCAGTTAGCGTATTGGCTATGTCGCTGGACTCCCCAAAAAAACACTCCCTAAAAAACCTTTCATCTGAAGCTTTCTTGATAAATGGTACAAAAGCATATCAAGATATTAAAAACCATAAATGTTAGAGGTAATAATTATAATTTTTTTTTTTGAGAGGTTTTCGCTATAGGGCATGTATGCTTGCCAGACAGAGACATAGACAGAAAGCAAGAAATCATCCCCCAGGGGGGATGGCCACGCCACAATCCCTTCTCCTCCATTCTCCTCTCGGGATCTTGGGCACGCACGCACACGCGCCCAGCGTGAGTTTTAAGCCACTGGGTCCGGGATGCGAACCGTGGTCGACTACGTGGGAGTCCAGCGACACAGCCATTACACTAACTGCTGGTTCCCCCCTAATTATAATGTTTATTATCTGAAGAGGATAGTTGCATAGATATTAAATAGTAGGTAACTTAAAGTAACTTATATTTTGTTTTGGTCTACAATATTCCTTTCTCAAAATACGTTTCCTTAGTTTTTT